TGGATTTTTCTTGTGCGACCCTGGCGGCCGGTCACAGGTGGGTTGCGGATCCGGTTTGTTTAATATTGGAGGGGATTCCCTTCAATATCCCGTGGTGCTCGTTTTTTGTTTGTTTGAATTTTCTTGAGAGGAAAGGCTTTTCAAACAAGAGAGCCTGTTTCTTTTTCAGACATGGCCGCTGCGAGGGATCAATAGCCAGTCGTTTCTCAAATAACTGGGAAATGGTTCGCCAACATTTCCCGACCCCCTTTTTGACACCGAGTCCCGAGTCCTTGCATTCCCTGGGTCAATGTTGCCATCTTGCATTTGTTGCCCTTGACCAAAAGGCGCCCAACCAAGGATTGAATCATAGGCTCCGGGTTGCAGGGTGACAAAGTTCTCTGCCAACCAGGCGACCCAAAAACCTCTAAAACTGCCATACCACAAACAAAAACACTGTTTTTGAGTCTCTAGGAAGCGACCAATGTTGGGACACCCGTGTGGCGTGCCAGGCCACAGCTACCAGCTGGGCGTCACGGAGTTCGCGGATCAGGCGCCCGAGGAGTTCGCCTCCGCACGCTTCGGCCTGGCCAAGTCTACGAAGCCCTGGGCGGACCTGCCCTACCTGGGCCGGGACGAGCGCCTCGCCTTTTCGCGGGATTTTGTTCGACTCCGCTGGCCGTAGAAAGCGACCTCCTGGCGCAAGTTCGGGCTTGGTGGTACCGGAACACCTCACAGATCCAACCGGCTTATTTGGCTCAGGGGAGCTGTTTATTGGTTAGGAACTTCGACAAATCCCTGTCATTACATAGGTGCTGTTCCCCGGAAATGCACGATCCATGTCTCAAACTGGGTGGGGCCCTAAGGTCGCGCCATGAATCGTATCCTTTGGGGAGCTTCCGGATGGAATCGAAGTACTGTTGTTTTTTGGTGGTCGAACAACCTTTAAACAATTTTAAACACCTCTGACCATGCCTTACTTTTGCCTTTGAACTTTGATGCATATTGTGTTTTTCTTTGGGCAACTCATGGTACTATGTACGAAGTGAACGGGGTAAAGGTCCCTCTTGTAATCAAAGAGCACCTGATACGTCATGAAGCTTTGTTGCGGCGGCCTTTTTTCCTACCCCTGCCTTCAGACTGATCCCCAGGGTGGTAAATGAAGCGCCTTTGGTGTTGGCGCCCTTTTTGTCTGGTGCAAAGCGGCAAGCAGCGGGCAACCTTAAAAATGCCAGCGGCCTTTTGCCATCGCTTCTTGCCGAGGTACAGCGGCATGGCAGTGCCGGATTCCATCGACTGGACCAGCAAGGGCGCTGTGAGCGAGGTGAAGAATCAGGGCCGCTGCGGGTCTTGCTGGTCGTTCTCTACGACCGGCGCCTTGGAGGGTGCGTGGCAGATTGCTTCGGGGAAGCTGGTGTCCTTAAGTGAGCAGCAGCTGGTGGATTGCGCCAACAACGGGGAGATGGGCTGCAATGGCGGCTCCATGGATTTGGCTTTCCAGTACTTGGAGAAGTACGATGTTTGCACCGAGGAGAGCTACCCATACACCGCAAAGGCGGGCAAATGCCACGAGACGAACTGCACCGTGGGCGTCCCCAAGGGCTCCATCGTGGGCTTCAAGGATGTGTCGCCCAAGGACATGGATGCCCTGATGGAGGCCGTTTCTCAGCAGCCAGTGTCTGTGGCAATCGAGGCAGATCAGACAGCCTTCCAGTTGTACAAGGGCGGCATTCTGACCCAGGAGCATGGTTGGGGCAAACGGTTGTGTTCGGGCAATACTCAGGGATTCCCCTCAAACATGACCAAGTAGTCCGTGGAGTCAACCACCTTGCTATCGAAATGGTGGTTCCTACGTTTCCCGGGCAATACCGAGGCATTCCCCTTGGAATCAACCACTTTTGCCCTCGCAAGAGTGGTTCCCCCACGTCAGGAGTGCGGCAAGAAGCTGGATCACGGCGTGCTGCTGGTGGGCTATGGCACAGAGAATGGCGTGGACTACTGGAAGGCGCTCACAAAATCATGGCCGTGGCAACCAAAATTAAACTGATCGGAGGGGCGGGTTCCGCAGGTTTTGGGTTCCCACGTTTCCACTTACCAGGGGACCACATTTTGGAATTCCGGTTTTTTTGAGCCACAGCCACATTTTACATGGAGTGAGAGCCAGGCTGCTTGCACTCTGGTGCCTGTGTCTCATAGATGTGTGTCCTTCTGTGCTGTCGCGTCAGCGGCTGAGGCCGGGCTCCATTTGTTTTTGCAGAGGGTAAAGTGACTTGATCCATCTTGATCCCTCGCAGCCATAGGTGCCCTTTTTGATTGTTTGGGTAGAAACGTAGATGACCCTGGTTTACCTCGTGGTTTAATCCCCTACCAGGGAAACCCATCTATTTCCCCCAACAAGACACCTATGCTCGCAGCCTTGTGTGGCAGGTGAAGAACAGCTGGGGCGCGAACTGGGGCGAGAACGGGTACATCCGCATGAAGCGGGGGGTGCCCCAGGACGGCGAGTGCGGCATCAAGGACGGGGCTGCTCAAGCCACAACAGGAAACCGCAAGGTTTTAATATGTACATATATATACACATACATATATATATACTTTTATATATACATAACACATATATATATATATACCTATATACATACATACATATATATATATATAGATAGATAGATACATGTTTTTGGGAGGGGGATGGCTTCAAAGGATGACCCCTCCTACCCCGTGGTCAAGAAGTCCACCGAGATCGTAATTTGAGCATCTCAGTGTCACCGCGCAGCTTGGCTCGCGCCCGGCACGGAAAGGCAACCTTCAGGAGCTTCAAGCGTTTTTACTACGTCATGCGTATGGTTTGCCTTTTCCGCTGTTTTTTTTGATAAATACGCCGCCCCCCTGGCAGTGTAAAAACCCTTTTCAAGGGATGTTCATTTCAGTGGAAAAGGCAAACCCTGGTCATGCGCGCTGCTTGCGGGCTTTGCAGCTTTGCACATGCCATGGCCACTTTTGGTTGTCAGCTTCATGGATGGGCATGCTAATGTGCATGATGGCTTTTGCGCTGCGGACCACCAAGAATTGCTTACAAGCAAAGAGCCAACACTCGGACGGCCGAAATGAAGAAATGGGTGTGGCTCAAAATTAAGGAGCGACCTGGAGTCTCCACTATCCTTAAAAAATGGGTCATTACCCAAAATAATGGGGTCATTGACCCATTTTAAAGGGCCATGGAGACTCCAGGTACGGTTACACAGGTGTTAGTCTTTGGTTCCATTTATCAAGGTGCCGTTTTGGACCACTTTTTTTGTTTTTTTGGGAGCGATGGCAACATAAACAAAGACTTGGTGCGAGCCCGAGGTACAACACGCGGAGCTGGACAGCTGGGTTGAAGCCCTGTGCTGAGTTTGGGGCCAGCGCCTGGGCTGGGGAATTCGGCGCGACGCGTAACCAAGGGCCGGCCGCTTGGGCTTGGCCGCTTGGGCACAAAGTTTGAAGGAGCCTGTTCCAGGGAGAACTTGGCCGGGAACGCGAGGTGACTCAGTGTGGGTGTGACGTTGCCCAGTTTGCATAGGGGAATGACGTGGGGGATGAATTCTTGGAGTTCTCTGGACCTCATAGTTCACTCACTTTCAATCAATCTTGGCAGAGACTCGAGGTCACCGGGTTTTGGGCGCTCAAGTCACTAGGATGCCAAGAGACCTTGGAGCAAGCTCGTCCCAGTCCGCCCTTCCCCCTCCCGCGCCCGTTTGAGGCGCCAAATTGGGGGGGTCTTCCAGGAAGGATCGGAAAGCCGCGATGGCCGGATGGCCTGGGATGGACAGAAACTCGGAGTTGGTGGGGACCCTGTTGGCCAAACTACAGAACCTTAGAATAGTTGTTCCAGGGTTGTGGGATCCGGGGTTTATCCAACCACTTCTGTGATACTTAGGGAATCCCCTTTTTATGTTGGGGGTTAGTCTTTGGGAGGCGCTTTTTGTTGTAACACAGAAGTGGTCATTTCCCACAGCCCTGAGTTGTCCCATGCTGCTTTTGCGGCGCGGCAGCCAGCGCCCAAAATTGCGTGCTTGGCAGCTTGGTGCGCCTGTGTCCACGCAGTTGGCGTGCACCGAATCGCACAGGAAAAAAACCGCGGTGCGTAGGTGCCCCGTAGTCCGCGACTTGAACCTTACCTCTTAAAAGCACAACTTTTCAACTTTTTGGGTAACATGGGCTATATGTCTGTAAAAGGTTAACTTCCCCAATCCTTGGGGTTTTAAGGGGTAAGGAACATTTCCTCATGAGACACGAAGATTGGCTCAGACCGGACATACGGGGCTGACAGATGACCTGCTTCGCCAATCTTATAAAAGGGGCGACGCGTGGCCCGCGATGTGCCTGCAGGGCAACATCAAAAGCCGACGCGCGGCTTCGGCGTTTGCAGGCTTCGGGAGCCGCTTAAAAAACAAAGCACTAGAAACATAAAAGTTGTTCAAGCAAACTAAAGCCATACATATATATATATATAAGCAAGCAATCAAGCTTCTTTTTGGTGATTGCCTGGCAGGCAATCAAATAGCGAGCTCACTGGGTGGCCCGTGCAGGTCTCTCGCGGGGTTTCTTTTTATATTGGCAGGATTTCCCCAAAAGCTTTGTGACGTTGCCGGAAAACCGCGGATTATTTTTGACATGGGTGGCCAAACTCTTTTGCCCAGTGGTGCCCTTTTGTCGTCCTTTTTTTTGGGGAAGGGTTCCCCTTTAATTTAAACTCAACCAACAAAAGAAAAGGTGCCAATTTATTGTTTTCCCATGGAAATGCACTGGGCATCTGAGCAAAGGGTTTTCCAAAAGGAGCAACCACGGAGTTCACACCAACCTACCCTTCCTCCAACTAACATGGCACCTGTGGGGAGGTATGTGAGCTTCATTTTTTTTGACGGGAGCCCCTGTCCATGGTTGTCGTTGGGGAACTGCTATAATTTTTGCTCCCTTTCCAACGTCAACCACGTTCGTGGGTGCCGCGACTTTCTCGGCCTTCGCATGCCCTAAACCAGGTGAGGCGCCAAAGGGAGGCCAAGAGGCGCGCGTTGACTACGGGGGGGAAGCCTTGGGTTGTACGCGCATGGGGAAAAACATCCGACGGCGAGGTCTCCCAGGGGTTCTACAGGTAGACTTAAACCCAAATGTTTTGCTTGGGACATCAACCACAGTTTGAGTTGAACTCTTTTTTGGGGTCAAAAGGTAGAACCCTGCTCCAAATGGTGGACGCTTCGGCATAAACCCACGGAGAGGCCTCCAGTGAGGTGCAATTCCAAGCTTGTTTTTTCGACTTGTGCTTGAGGGAGTAAACCCCTTCAAAAAGCAGACCACCAATTAAAGGGAGTAGAAAAATAGGGGCGTTTTTTTATTATTCCCCCTTTTGTGCTAGCAGACTACCAAGAAAAGGGCACCAACCATTTTTCCGATTCATGGGAATGCACCGGAGTTGTTGCTTCTTCTTTTCTTTTTTTATTTTATTTTTTTGGGGGGGGGGTTGGGGGTCGGGACCCCAAATCGAGGTGCGGGCTTTTCCAAGCCCAAGCTTCCATTTTTACTTGATAGGTTTTATACTTTCCCCTGGTTTTGAAGTCGGGATCTACTTCTGGAAATCTGACTTCACATTTTGTCGTTTTGAAAAAGTAACCGGAAGCCAGTTGTGACTGCAGTGCTCTTGCCAACACATGCTGGAAGTGTGTTTACTTGTTCCAGGCTTCAGCAAATGGAGGCAAATCTCTGAATTGGCGCCTCTCTCTCTTTTTTTTTGGGGGGGGGGGAAGGGTTCTCTTTAGACTCAACCAACAAAAAGGATGCCGCTTCTTGTTTTCTTTTGGAAATCCACTGGGCATCTGAGAACCTCTCTACTGGAGGGCCAATTGGAAGGACGCCGAACCCGCGGTTTTCTCCGCCCGGGGACACGCCAGTGCCCAGTTTTGCGGTGAGTTTCGCTTGGGGGTGATTTGTTGAGCTTGGAATTGTGAGGAACCCTGCTTAGCTACGTAGCTTTCAGGATGTTACGACATGTTACGACCAAATAGACCTCGCAAAGAAATTTGCATCTGACCGAATGATCTGAGACATGGGCCGAAAAAACAAAAAAAACACCTTGCAACCTGCGAACGAGTCAAAACCCAGGCGTGAGGAGAAGAAGGCGGCGGGAAGCCTCGGAGCCGAAGCCGGGAAGGGGACCGATGTTCTCTCGGCGTTTTATTTTTGTTTCCCGGACGGGGAGGCGACCAGTTTGGGGGACCAGAAACGGAAAAAATCAACCGGAAGGGGAAATGCTCAGGGAGTAAAAACACAATTGGGGATTTTGGGGGGAGGCAAAAAGGCCAAAAAAGGGCCACCCTTTAAATTTGGACACCTTGAAAAGCCGGAAGTTCGTGGCCTCGGCAACCCCCCCCTGTTTAGCTCGATGGGGTGCGGGATACTTGGCTCTCAAGCAAAAAACCCATGGATCTCCAGTAAAAGTGTCGCACAGCCAGTGGTGCTAAACCAGGAATCGTTTCACGTGCGCAATGCCGAATCCACCGGGGGGCGGTTTTGGTCTTCCGTTAAAAAAAAGTCGCAGGGCTCACTGAACTTGTGGTTTAGTGGGATATCCCCGCTAAAGCTTAATTGTTTGCTCCCCTTTCAACGTCAACGTCTATAAAAGCTTTCCATTTTTTCAATATTCCGGGCAATTTTTAACGACCCTTTGGCTTCAGCTCGCATCAGGAAACCTAGGACCAGATGAATCTGAATCTGCTCCTTAGCGGGGCTGAGTAATGTTGACCCCGGATTAGTAAACCCCACCAAAAGTTGATAAATAGGGGGTGTCCCCTTTTGGTGAGGATTCAGACCACTGTTGGAGGGTTGCCACCCCCCTAATACTGGGACGGGTTTATTAATCCTGGGTCAACACTACTGAATGTGTTGCGAAGTCACTTTTGAGGGAACATCCCCCTATTACTGCACCAGGTTGACGAATCCAGGGTTGACATTGCCACTCGCCTTTGCTTCTTTAAGTCTTTGCATATCGCACAACGACTCGCCCTTCCTCCACACAAGTTGCTACAATATGGAGCTGCACAGGCTGTTGGAAGACGACTGTCCTCTTGAAGAGATTCCTTTGCTCTTCCATGTTTTGTGGCCAGTACGGACCAATGGACCAACATGGCAACATCACAAGGTCCAAAGGTCGATTGAGTCGATTCGCTTGGGGCCACTAAGGTTGGCTGCCGCTTGGTTATCCCGGTGAACAAACCGGCCCAAAGAGGACCCCAACAAAAACCACAACCAAAGTCAGTTTGGAAAACCCCATTGAGACAGCTCTGGGAAAGGTGGTCATCTTTTGAAACGTTTGCAAGAAGTGGACCAAACAAGGGGAAGCCCAAAGGCCACTTTCAGGCGATTCGCTTACGACTGAGCATTGAAGAGGTACCCTCGCCTTGCCTTCAACACCAAAATGAAGGGATACCTCCATTTACAAGTTGCAATGTTCAGGTGTACAATCTTCCCCAGAACTAGTTCCCCTTTTTGTTTTTTTGCTTTTTCGGGGCTCCCTTAGTTTTCCACTAACCAGGCAAAAAACAGAAAACAAACACATTTTTTGCTGGGGTCCGATTTTTCCAGCCATGGAAGACTCTTTGGTGGCTGATCCAAATCATTCTCCGCTGTTTTGTGTGTGCAGAGTCCCAAGAAAATTGCGAAAAAGTGAGCTGAAACACCGGGGTGCCGGATCCCTGTGAACCGCCAGGGGCCCTCTGGACACCGAAACCTCGGCCACGGTTTCGAGGCGCGGAGACGGCGCAAGGCCAAGTGCAAGGTGCTGAAGCGCATGGAGAAGGCGCAAGCCCAAGCGGGGCCAGTGGTAACATGCATGGCACATAGATCTGCACATATGAGGTCTATGAGTCTATGAAAAGATACGTTTAAAAAAAGGGGACAAACACATGGAGTTTTTTTTGTTTATATATATATGTATATATGAATATATATATATATATACATATATGGTTGTATCTATATATTTTGTGTGTTTATATAGTCACGTATTTGTTCATATGTGTGCATACACATATACGAACGTATGGATCAAGAGAATTTACCCACATACATACATGCACTCGTTTTTTTGAAGTATAGAGGCGCGCGCGTATGTGTGTACCCGCAATCTCGGTTTCACTTCAGCTTGGTCGTAGCCTCAAGACATTGGTGCACGTCGTGTCCTGCCGCAAGTCTCAGACCCCCAGCAGTTGAATATGGGGTGAGAGCCACAAGGGCAGCTCCATTGCCCTCAACTTCCCCTTTCGGGCTCCCGTTTCTAGTCATGACCCTAAAAGGTGATCGCCTTGTAATTCTGGGTTCCATCTGGAGCAACTGAAGCGGGTGATTCGGATGCCTGGCTCAGGATGTGCTACATACGAGGTCCCCCCCAGGCCATCAAGCCCCAAACAACCGCGAAGCGAATCTAATGACCGCACATCCAGTAGTCTGTGTTCAATATGTCAGGGGCATTGGAAAACTCGCTCAATTTCCCCAGCAAGCGGCCGAGCCCAGATGTTCCATGTCCTTTTCGGCAAGCGCGTATTTTCACTGGGGCTGTTAAGGGTCTGTCTCACAATGTAGCAATAGAGGTTTCCCTCTCAAATTGTACATAGCCATCTTCGCTTTCAGGTGTACGTGCTCACAAATTCGTGCATTTACTGTAAGCCATATGGGCGCGTGTGTTTTTAAGGGTGTCCTTTCCAGGTTGGTCGAAAAGGAAAGCGGGAAATCCGGACATGGCCTTTTTGCTGTTTCGCGGGAAAGCGAGGAGAGGAGCCTCGAGTGAACTCCAAATCCCAATGCAGGCAGCCCGGGTGGCCGCTCGGCGCCTGGCACGGAGAGCCAAGGGCCGCAAGGACTGAGGTGTCAAGGGCCTTTGCAAGCTGGTGGTGTGCAAAATTTGACTGTTCCAAAAGACTAGGTTCCCCAGTAGTGCACTTTTACCGTTTCTTTTTTTGGGGAGGGTTCCCCTAGTAAAATAGACTACAGAAAACAGGGTACCCTTATTCTAACCTCTCTACTGGAGGACCTAGAAGAGCGGGGGCATTGGAAAGAGCCAGGATCCCTTAAAAGTCTTTGGTTTTTCTTCTGGCGTCATAAGCCAAGCGCATTTCGCCCAGGAAATGGTGGGGCGTTTCAAAGCTTGAAAGACAACTGGTTCTGGCTTCAACTCAGCGGCCGAGTTCCTGGAGTTTCTGTTTGGGTTTGGCCCATGGCACTCCACAAGTTTGGACCCCCAAGAAAGGCTTACAGCTCCAGCCGGAGCCTTCGGGCCCGGGGGTGTAGATGGGGGTAGTTTGTCCATGCCCACCCATAGGAATCAGAGAAGTGAAGCGGTTTTGATCAGTCAAACGTCGCCAAGCATGCCCAGCCCCTTCAAGCTGGCGGAAGAGGCTGAAAAGGGTAACCCAAAAGTCCAGAGACATGGAATTGGGTTAGCTTCAGCATGCCTCTAGAAATATCGATCCTTGTCCATGCTTTCCAGCCATGGTTCTTTTCAAGAACCGATCCCCATTTCTTTTTCCGGTTCTTGGGTGGGTTTTCTCGAGAGATTTTCGGATCGGATCCCCGGAAAGAATCCGGACATGGGAAGTTACCCCTCGCATGCCCCATTGAGCTACCAGGGGCTTGCCTGGTCCGCCAGGAGAAGGGCAAGGCCTCGAGGAAAGCGGCGCCTTGGGCTGCAGGTTGATCGGAGGCCGAAGTTTGGAGCGGGCTGAACCCAAGCGGCAGAACCCCCGGTTTAGCAGAACCCCAACGGTCCTTGTGAACCAAGGAGGGCTAGAGGCTGGGTTCTACAGCATTTATCTTGCATCAGCTTGAAAAATGTGCCCGCTTTTTGCGGCGCTGCCTCATAATCATCATCAGGTACTAGTACATGCGAGTTCTGGGGGATTTATGGGTTTAATATCCTGAGCCTCCAGTACCCTTTTGGCCGAACATGGGGTTCCATTTCACATTTGGTGAGTTGTGTTGTGGTTTTCCTCTTGGCTTCCCCTTCCAAGGCCCTGTTGCGGGTGCCCTCCAAGAAAGGCGCCGGAGCCAGGGAAAAAGCTCCTCGGAAGTTTTGGTCCAAACCCGAGGCGCGTGAGGCCCGGGGCTGGCGCTCCGAGACCGAGGCGGGAAGCGATCTGGAAGCCAAGCCCTAGCAAGGGCCCCAAGGGCAGAATGCCCCCCCGCCCCCGCAAAGCAGGTAGGTTACCCCATGGCCCATGGCTCAAAAGGCCCGCACAAATCGGCCGGAAGGTGTGGCATGGCCGGGGGTTTTGGGAGGCTACCCAAGCTAAAAAACCCGGCCTCCATAAAAATCCAAGGGCTCAAATGGCCCCAAAACGGCGTGAAAGACTCGGGGATCACAGGGCAAACCAAAAGGGAAAACCACCATTCAAGGGGGTCCCCTAAAAACACGCACCAGAATCGCGGAATTCAAAAGATGCAAGCCTTACCCTTTCATCTACCCGGCTACCCGTTTTCCAGCAAATCCCTCAAGCTTGCCTTTGCCTGTCTACCCTGGTTTCAACAAGCTGGCAGGGAAACAGGGAAAAGGGCTATGATTTCAAGGTGCCTGCAGCAATGGAGAGACAAAGAAAAGGAGCTGCAGGCCAACAATTATGCAGCTCTCCCCTATGTGGTGGATGCTATAGGATCCGGATGCTGAAAAGAGATGAACTTAACGACGTCGACATCTCAGAAAAAAATCAAGACCCCATTGTTTTGTCTTCAGCCGCTTCTGGATATCGAGATGGCTAACTCGTCAGCTTTCCACCCACGTCTGCCTGGCTCCGTGCGTTTGGGTCGTTGTGTCGTCCTTGTCTTGTTTTTAGGTGTTCTCTCATTTTACCCCTGCCCAAAAATGCGTGCGGCCGAACACGTTCTTTCCGCGGAGCGAAATGAAACAATAAAACACACACCTCCAGTGGTGCCCCTTCTTTCAACTTTGTTCTATTTTTCTGGAAGGGGTCAACAAGTCCACTGCCCGAAGCCTGGTGCCCTTCAGATCCCGGACCAATCTGGTCTTTTGGCCCGGCCAGGAAGAAGAACGCGAGGAGGACGAGGACGCGAGACGAATCGAGTTGACCACTCGTCGGCCATTGGGTTTCCAGCGATATGGCCCGGGGGAATTATGAATGTTCTGGCAGCCTTTCGCCTCTCATGTGAGTGTGTCTTCTTTTGAGGCTTCCCTTGTTGGGTTGCTTGAGGGAGGCCACTTGTTTGGAGGGTTCCCCTATTTTGAGCCAAGACTGTTCCAGGTGTGGGAATTACTGTAGAACTTGGCGGATTTGCTGTTTGGTCTGAGGCTCTCCGGCGAATTTCAGACAAGACCCGATTTGCATGAAACATTCTGGTGGGGCAGCTCATGGGGTTGTAGCAAATGTAGGAACAGGCATGCACCTTTATAACGAATGGTTCTTGGGAGCGCCTCAACGGCGTTGTCTCAAAATCAGGGAGCGTCTCAGCGCACTGCATTTCTTTGCAGGCCTTCAGTAGCTTGTGGCTGAACGCCTGGGTGTCTCTGACAATCGGGGCATATCGGGGCCTTTTTTTTTTCGTCCAGGCGGGATTGCTTTGGTTTCCCTTGCACGTTCCACAAACTGGGAGATGCCCGTAGAGAAAGACGAGCCCCAGTTTGTAACGGCCCCAAGATGGAGACAACCCAACCCCTCCCCTTTTCGCCTTTTCGCCGGCAGGAGCTCGAAGTGGGCTTCCTGTGGCCGCAGAGCGATCAGGAGACTTTGTGTTGGGTTGGTGTGGCTTGGTGTTGATTCTTACCTCTAAAAAACACGACTTGTCATCTTTTCGGGGGTAACATGGGCTATATGTCTGCAAAAGATTAACTTCCCCAGGGCTTGGAGTTTTAAGGGGTAAGGATTGCTTGCTTGCGTGCTTGCTTGCTTGCGTGCTTGCTGGCTGGCTTGGGATGGGTTGCATTGCGTGCAGGATTTCGCTATGCTGGGTGGGCCTCTTCAAGTGATGGGCTGTTGCCGCTGCTTCCCGGATCTTCGCTTCGGCATGTTCTTGAAAAACATAGTGAATAACGGTGGTTAAAGGGAACACAAGATCACGCTGACAATGTGTTGTTGCACAATTTCTGCAATTCCACTTGCCTCACATCACCTCCACCTTGTTGAGAGGTGCGGTGTTTCTCTTTTCCTGGCTCCAGCACAGCATCGTCAGGCATAAGACTGTGCAGAGGCTCTTTTCCGATAAGAGGTAAGAGGCCTCTCAGTGTGCGGCTGCTTTTCTCTCCAAGAGAGCTCCAACCAAAGGCGGCTTAGGCCCGCGGATTTCCGCCACGGCCGAAGAAGTCGACAGGAGTTGACTGCTAAGCAGCTGCGGAAAGAAGGGAAGAAGGCGATGGGCGGCTCGCGTTTCTGAAGCCGCAGTGGTTTAGGTGCTGGGGACCAGCTTGGATACCCAGACATACCCAGCCAGTACCCAGACCAATATATGTGTGTCATATTTGCCAATATGTGGGGTGGAGGTTCGGTTAGGTCCAGCCTTGTTTCACCAAGGGGCTTGAATCCGAGCGCGTTCTGGACTTGGTGGTTTTTAGCCACCCCATAGCTTTTGTTTATTTTTGGCTTTTTAGTGTTCTGTGCCTGGACTTCCCAACTTAGACCACTAAGAGTTAAAAGCAACTTCCGGCGGATCCGAAATCGGACACCCCAGTTGAATGTGCGCAAATCGGGCAAAGGAACGAACGAAACCGGGTCTCTGAGCACTGAGTGCGCGACCTTTAGGGAGTTTGGGGGCCTAATTAAAAAAGCACAGCAACATGTGGCGATTTGGCAAAATGGGTATCCATCTTCTTGGATCCCTAGTAAATGGAACCAAGGACAAAAACCTGCGGTCCATATCCTGGTGCCTTATGTTTGACCCATAGCCATGTGGCAGTTGGGGCAACACCTTGGAGAGCTCGATCTCCGATTTCAGGCGGCCCGTCGCCTCTTGAGGTTCGCCAGGAAGGCCGCGCTGGTCGCTGGGGGGAGTGTCGTGTTGGGTTTTTCTCCTGGGTTCTCCTTCTGACCCTGAAAAATGGTTGGTCATTACCAAAAACATGGGGTCATTGACCCATTTTTTTAAGGGTCATGGAGACTCCTGGTTGTTGTTTTTTGCTGGTAAGTAAGATGTCAGGGACAACCCCCCACAAAAAAGCAAGAAAAAGCAGGAAACAGGCACACCAGCGCCCCACCAACCACTGCTTTTTGGACAGTTGGGATTTTGGACATGAGAAGAAGCAGGGCGGTGCTGGCAGGTTTCGTTGGTGGTTTGGATTTGTTGGGTGCATCCAAAGTACTGGTTGTTGTAGGTAAATGGGACATCATCCCCTAACCATCCAAACCACCAACAAATACAGTGGAGCTGAAGAATGACGGGGTTCCTTCTGGTTTTGCCCCCCGCTTGACAAACTGCTCCAACCAACGTGCAACAAGGTGGCCCTCAAAGCAGGGACACGTGTTGGGGGTGCGTCAATGGCTGTGAAGGAGAAGTGCGTCGAGCATTCGGAACGAGGCCTTGAGTGATGGGTTCACGGTTCCCTACTATGAACATGGTTTGCTGTTGGTAGGCTGCGATTTTCTCTTAAACATAGTATTTGTTTCCCTTGTTGGTTTTTTTAGATGGTTCGAAGGGAGTCAATTTCACTCCTGGACATATATATATATATATATATGAGCCACGGACAAAACACACGAAGACCACTTTATCAAGGCGGGGTACGTTTTTGCGTAGCACATGCCAAAACCATGGAAAACGATAAGGTCTCCCCCAAAAACGATAACCCTTAGCGAACACACGGCTCTATAACAACCCCTGCAGTTGCAACTTAGCTAGGGTGGGACCCTTGCGTGGCCACCGTAAAACGAGAAGGCGAGTCGCCACTTTCGAGCTGGAGCTGCCAAGGTGTGCTTCGTAAATACGACACTCGTACTGAGAAGTTGCGATTTTCGAGCTGGAGCTGCGGAAGTGTACTTCGCGTACTAGACTTGTGCTACAAAGTTGCGATTTTCGAGCTGGAGATGCGGAAGTGTACTTCGCGTACTAGACTTGCACTACAAAGTTGCGATTTTCAAGCTGGAAATGTGGAAGTGCGCTTCGCGTACTAGACTTGTACTACAAAGTTGCGATTTTCGAGCTGGAGCTGCGGAAGTGTGCCTCGCGTTGCACTACAAAGTTTCGATTTTCGAGCTGCAGATGCGGAAGTATACTTTTCGTACTAGACTTGCACCACAAAGTTGCGATTTTCGTGCTGGAGATGCGGAAGTGTACTTCGCGTACTAGGATTGCACTACAAAGTTGCGATTTTCGAGCTGGAGCTGCGGAAGTGTACTTTGCGTACTACCTAGGGCTTCAAGAACCTGTAAAAATGTCGTACCCTGACTAAAACATCGTGTTTTTTCTCGATTTTCTGAAAACATCGTGTTTTCAGGAAAAACATCGTGTTTTTGATAAAACCCCTTAAAAATGGGCTTCTGAGGCCAAACACTCATTTGGAGCAAAGGGTCAAAGGCAAGGGTCGGGAGTGGATTCACACAGACATCACCCATTAAGATTTCAACTGAGGGCAACGCTCTATACTGAGTATGCTTCAAATTCTAAGGACCACATTGATGAGCCTGACAGCCAGGGTGTGCAGCTGGCTTCAGTCTTGAAGTACCTTTCACAGCAACAGGCACCTGAAGACTGGCGCCAGGTCATACCGAACCAGTTTGAAGGGGGTGCTGGAATCCGAAAGCTCCTTTTGGTGCAAAACAAGACCAGGTGACACTTTTGAGATTGTTTTTATCAATTTTGAGTTTTTTTTAGCAAATGGGGCGGGATCCTGGCGGCTAACCGCAGAAACCCGCAGAAAACCCGTAGAAACCCATAGAAAACCCGTAGAAACCCGTAGAAAGCCCGCAGCCCCAACCGAAAACATCGTGTTTTTGGAAAACATCGTGTTTTCTAACCCGTAGCTAAACCGTGGAGAACCCGTAGTAAAGCGTGGCAAAGCGTGGAAATTCTATGGGTTTTTCGGGTTCAACCACGAATGCGCTAATTCGAGAATGTTGCTGGAAAACAACGAAGTCGTGAGCAAAAGCACGGTCTTTGCTTGAGCTTGCGCGCTGTTCGAAGCCAGCACGCCCTCATCATGGCACTGCTGCTTGACAAGTGTCATAAAACCGTGGTACTTTTGACTATTTGGGTCCCCGGCCTCCTTCTTTCAGGTTGGAGTTGCGAAAGACGAGTGGCGAATGCGAAGCTGATTTCGTTGCGAGTGCAAAAGGGGAGGGCGATGGGAGATTCTGAGGTTGAGATGATGCTTTTGAGATCTTTTGAGAACGGATGACGAGTTGAAGGAATGTATGGGAAACTGCTTGAAATCGAAAATGCGGTGTTTCCCGAAAACATCGTGTTTTCCCAAAAAACATCGTGTTTTTTGTAGGTATGACATTTTCATCGGTTTTTGAGGCTCCTGGTAGACTTGTACTACAAAGTTTCGATTTTCGAGCTGGAGCTGCGGAAGTGTACTTCGCGTACTAGACTGTTACTACAAAGTTGCGATTTTCGAGCTGGAGCGCTGTGGAAGTGTACTTCCCGTACTAGACTTGTACTACAAAGTTGCGATTTTCGAGCTGGAGCTGCGGAAGTTTACTTCGCGTACTAGACTTGTGCTACAAAGTTGCGACTTTCGAGCTGGAGCTGCGGACGTGTACTTCGTGTACTAGACTTGTACTACAAAGTTGCGATTTTCGAGCTGGAGCTGCGGCAGTGTACTTAGCGTACTAGACTTGTACTACAAAGTTGCGATTTCCGAGCTGGAGATGCGGAAGTGTACTTCGCGCACTAGACTTGTACTACAAAGTTGCGACTTTCGAGCTGGAGATTCGGAAGTGTACTTCGCTTACTAGACTTGTACTACAAAGTTGCGATTTTCGAGCTGGAGATGCGGAAGTGTACTTCGTACTACAAAGTTGCGATTTTCGAGCTGGAGCTGCGGAAGTGTACTTCGCGTACTAGACTTGTACTACAAAGTTGCGATTCTCGAGCTGGAGATGCGGAAGTGTACTTGTCGTACTAGACTTGTACTACAAAGTTGCGATTTTCGAGCTGGAGCTGCGGAAGTGTGCTTCGCGTACTAGACTTGTACTACAAAGTTGCGATTTTCGAGCCGGATCTGCCAAAGCTCGAAAACACTGTAAAACGATAAGGTCTCCCCCAAAAACGATAACGTTCAAAAAAGTACTAGGGCCAAGTAAAGTGTTTCGTCCGCTCCTCATATATATATATATATATGTATATATTCTAAATATACATATATATATATGTGTGTGTGTATGTATATATATATATACACATACATATATCTGTGCTTTTTCCAAGAGGGGGCAAACCACGGCAATGGACGCCGCTCCATGCGGGGGGGGGAATTCTGGAGGCCCGGAAGCTCCGGAAGCGGGGGGATGGACAGCTGACGGGCCCAGAGGAGGAGAGCGGCTGTGAGTTGGGAGGAGGCTTTTGGGTGGGGGGAGGGTTGGGGACTTAGGGGTTGGGGGGACTTGGGGGTGTTTGGGGGAAGGGGGTTGGGGACTTGGGGACTTACTTGGGGACTTACTTGGGGACTTGGGGGGTTTGGGGGGTTTGGGGGTTTGGTGGTGGTGGGTTTAGTTTCCATTTGACCCACTTTTGTAGTTAGTCGCTTTTAGCGGGGCTGAGGGCAGCCCAGAAGGATCTCCACCCCCTTCAAAATTGTTTATTTGGGGGAGGGGGGATTTCGACCCTGGAGATCTCCATTGAGAGTTCCATTTTCCCTTTTGTGGGGAAGACTGAACAAATGGAATTGTGGGACCCCCCACTCCCCTCCCCCTTAAGGTAGGGGGGATTTTGGTGGTGGACTTGGGTTTTGGGGAGAGGGTTGGGGACTTGGGGGGTTGGGGGGTTGGGGGGGGTTATTTTTTTTTGGAGGCCCATGGGGGGTAACCCCTCCCACCCATTAACATTGAACCGTTCGACGTTCGGGGTCCGGCCCCTTTAGAAGGAAGCTGGTCCAAACCGCGCGCCGATCGAACGGTTCCATGTGAAAAGGGGCAGCGTAGGTGAAAGCAGTTTTTGCAGGCCCAGGGCGTGAAGGCTGGGTTCTTCCGTTGGGCTTTGTGTCCAAAGGGACTCCTCCATTTGCTTAAGTTTTTTTTCTTTTTTTTTTTTCCCCCTTGCTGGTTTTAAAGGGAAACTATCACTACTGGAAGTTATTTTATTTTTTCTGGGGGGCTTAAGCAAATGGAAGGACTGAACCCCTTTTGGGATGAAAGTGAAACACCAAGCCAGCAGCCAGCCACCACTGGTAAAGTCGACTTTGAGTCGCCGAAGCATCAGGGCTGGGCGGAGACCCTTTTTGGGCCCCAACATGGGGGTTGTCGTTTTTTTTTTTTTTTGGGGGGGGGGTTTCCCAAGCATCCAAAACGACATCGACATGTCGACGAATTGGAGGGGGCGGCGCAGAGTTGTGCCTTTTGAAATTCTTTGGGAAGTTCAAGGGGTTGAGGCTGGGGCCTTTGTTGCAAAGGAGCCCCCCATCCAACGCAGGAGGTTTGCCACCCCATGTTTGGCCAAACATCCCAAGTGACAGGTGCTTCGTGCAGCGTTCCCCGCTTTTCTCCCTTAAAGCTCTAAAACGTGGAGTTGAACATCACTATTTCGGCAAAGTAATAAGCGAGCTTTCTTTTAGCTTGAACTTTTTACACGGACATTTCTGCCTTGTCACTTGCCAGGTCCTAAGTATATACAGCGACGCCCCCATGCGTTCCATGGGGAAATACCTACTTCCGCGCCTCGCTTCGCCGGGTGCCCTGCGCGGTGCGGAGGACTTGCAGCGCATGGTGCGGAACGCCCAGGTGGCGTTCCAGGGCCTCTTCCGCGAAGAGCCGCTGGCCCCGGCCGTCTGAGGAGTCAACGCGATAGCGAGAGAATCACTCCGCGTCAGCGAGCGAGCGAGGCAATGTTTGTTTTGTTTGGGGGGTTTGGAGTGAGAAGCGGATTGAACGGGTTCCCCAGGAAGCTGGTGGGTTTGGTTTTGATGGCCGGGGTCGCACCGGTTTGTGGAAACCCTTTTTCCAGCACCCAAGTACTGCTTTTTGCAGAGTGCTGGGGATGTTGGGCACGGGAACAAGCAGTGGGTTTGGGGGGTGCTGGTTTGGGGCCCAGACTGGCGCAGCTGTTTGGTGTCACATCACCTTGTTTTATGCGAGTAAAACGACCATGAAGGCTCCCTTTAAAGGGTTTCCGGGGTGCTAGACAGGGCGCATGCCCATGTGTTTTTCTTCTTTTTTTCACAAGTAGACAGAAGTAGGCACAAATTCAAGCCTGAATGATGTCCAGCCGATCCCCGCATAAAATTCAGAGCCACAATTCGCCGAGGAGGCCCAACAAAATTGATATTTTCTGAATGGTTCCAGACTGGAGTGGTTCTCGTGAAGCGTGGGGTGGCCGGCTGGTTGTGGCAATGGCAATAGAGGGGACATGAGCAGGGTTCTAAATGCAGTTTTGGCAGCGTAGCTTCTCCCCTGTTTTGGTGACAACAAGTGTGTTTTTTTTGTTGTTCCGCGGGTGTTCCATATTTGTCATTTTAACCAGCAACAAGTTTAACATGGTTTAACTTTTTGCCGGGGGTCCTTTTCGTCAGAGCAAAACAAATTCTGCCCTTTGTTCCCCTGAAAGTCCACTGGGGTATATGGCGAAGGACTTTTTGCAGCTTTCCAGATGTACAGATTAGGCGCTTCAAGGCCTAGGCAAGGGATTTGCCCAAGAGGCCTTTGAAGCACGAGAGTTGTTCTTTATTCTTCTTGTAGCTGCAGTTTGTTGTGTTGTTAGTCTACTGTAACTTCGGCTCTTGCAGTACCCCACATAGCTTGTGAGCAAAGTCTTCCATGCTGAATAGTCATATTGCTCTAGGGGTTGATTCCCCATTCTTTCCAACCATTGTTCTTTGAACAAACCAGCTCTTTTTTCCGGGTTTCCGGTGGTTTTCTAGAAAGAAGGATCCCTGGAAAGAATGGGGAAGGTACCCCTGAAATATTGCATGACTTTGGGACACTCAGCGAGGAGCTGCAAGAGGAATCTGTCGCACCGCGCGCCGCGTGAAGAGGGGCTATGAGCCGATTGAGCGGTGCTTGGAAGAACCTGGGGGCAAAACGAGCTGGGGCGATGGAGTAGCAAGGCTTTGGACACATTCAGCCTCGATACTCCTTCAGGGATCCAAAAAGCAAAGCTTTGTATAATTGCCAGGTGCTAAATGGCTCATAACTAGCAATTTACCCAAACGGAAGCTCACTGGTGACGATTTTTTCCAGATGCGCACTCAGAATGGTTTTTGATGATGTAAAGATGTTCTGTTGCCCAAGGCGCATCGACCTCAAACGACTTGTTGTCCCCTGTTTTGGTTTCCCCATGTTTCTAGCCTTGGCAACCCAAAAGGTGATCACCTGGACTCAGTCCAAGGGCTCTTTTTGGTTGACCGCTTTGGTGAATGAACCGTTGGTCCGGTGAACCTTTGGTTTGCAGGTCCTTCGTCACGTAAGCAGTTGGCATATGTTCGTATATTTATTGTTAGCGGGTGGCTCTGCAAGCGTGCAGGCGCACGGAGGTGTCAGTTGTCAAAATAGAACCGAGCCCCCAGTGACAGGCTTGTGCTTTTTGTTCAAGCCATGCCGTTGAACTATTTGTCTTTTCGCACCGAGGGCGACTATAGAATCAGGCACCCCTCAAAGTCCCCATCCCTTCTAAGGCGGGGATGTCCCAGTTGCAAAATTCGCCAAGCGCCACGTTACGACGTAGGCCGTTGCGCCGTGCAACAGTTCACGCGCAAAGGAAACATCAAACGCTTGTACATAGCCGCAGTGCCGAGGCAGGATAATTTTCAGGCAAGGCTCGCACAGGTACCAGGCCCCTTTGAGCAAGCAACCTCCAGGGAAAACAAGCAGCCTCACAGGAGTGAAATGAGCTGAAGGCAACATGTCGGAATTCCATGAAGCTTCTTTTCTTCGTACTTTTTTTTTTTTCACGGCCCTGGTTTGCAGTCGGTGAAGAATAAGTCTTGTAGTTTTGGGCGGTCAAATGTGCTACGGGGTAGATGAAGGTCAGGGGACAAGCCAACCCAGAAAGAGTGCGGCCGCTCAAATCAACCGATCTTCTCTGCGGGACCTCTCTGAGTACCTGTAAAATTCCTGCACCTTGCGCTGCATGAGCCACTGCGATTTTTGCAGGTCCGGGATGTGTGGGCTGAACATGTCGCAGACTCAAGGCTCAACAAGCCGTTGCAACTTCCACTGTCCCGCCCCTGCAATCTTTGTGGCGGCTGGTGTGTTTTTGGTCGTCCGGGAGGCTGGCTGCTTTAGGCGCGCCGAATCGGTCGGTTCGCCAAGTGGATGGGGGTTTGGATTGAGGTTGTTCTTTCGAATTGCAGAGCTGACCGGAGGTGAGATGATGCAATGGGCAACCAGTACTTCATATACTTACCTCTTAAAAACACAACTTTCCAACTTTTTGGGGGTAGGTTAACTTCCCCAATCCTTGGAGCTTTAAGGGGTAAGTATTCCTGGTTCATCAACGGGGCGTCCAATTCATTTGAGGGGATCTAGGGGACTCAAGGGGAACGCGCACGGCCTCTAGATTTGGGTTCCAATGAATCCGCGATGCAAATTCAATCTTCAAGCTTAAGGATGAAGGTCCCCCTCTCACGGGTTCCACAGCCGAGGTTGGAACACGGAAGTACTCAAGGTGAGCAGACCCCATATCCAAAAGGCCATTTAGTCTTTCTCAACTGGGTCCTGTGCACTCCCATGATTCCGAAGTTGGCAGCTTGCAGCGCAGCCCGCGATGATTTCAAGACGAAAAGATGTCCAGGGGTGCTGGCGAAGGTTGGGGAGAGGACAGTCTTTTGCTAGGTGCTCCTCCCAAAGGTTCGCTATATTTCCCTTCTGGTGGTTTTAATTACACATCACATTTTTTGCCCCATGAAAGGTGAGTATCCCTTGGTGGGAGTGGTGTTTTAAGGGCAAAAAAAGGGAGCCCTGTAGGAGCCCTGCTCAACAGGAAAGCAGTCGAATTCACTCTGAAACTTTCTTTTGAGGTAAGGGGTCATATATTTTTTGGAGGGTACCTTTTTAAAGGACAGCCAAAAGGATCCCCCCCCCCCATTTTTCCATTTTTTTTGGGGCCTCGTGGTTTGACACGTGACCAGGGATGATGGGGCTCTTTGTCCATCAGGGGTTTCGAGCGCAGGTGCTCCTCTGGACTGTACAGCTTCCCCAAATATCCTGTGCGTTCCAGGTCTGGTCTCCCGAGACTTGGGAAGAACCCAGCCAACATCGCACTTCAATCAGGTGATGTGCTCTCTACCTTCTCGCCCTTTCTTGCGAGGAGCCCTGTTTCAAATCCACCTCCAAGCAGAAAACGGTTTCTCCGATGCTCTGCGTGCCTCGTGGCTCAAGCTTGGGCAGACATGAGGCACCCCATGCCGCGCAAGGAACCAGATGCCGTCACGCCAAGCACCGCCCCAAAAAAACCGAGCGCCGCGATGAAGAGGAGCTCCAGCCCGGATAGACCAGGCGGCAGCCGAAGCCGATCGAGACGCGGAAGACCTGGTGCTTTGTTTTTTTTTTTTTTTTTTCATTTGTGTTGGGCAAGGGGGGAAGCTTCCAAAAGAAAACACTGACATGTCCCCCGAAATCGTCGACCTCGGGCCTTGACTTTGTGTGGGCCAGGATAATCACAGGTCAAGATTTTAGGGAGATCAATGTTCAAGCGATGAGCTGCCTTTTTTTTCCGGTTTGGCATGCGCTGAGTCTTGCAGGCTCGCCCTACCCGATCTCCACCATCAAGGCATCTGGGGCGGAATGGGACGGAGGTTCAGCCAGCTGGGCGATATCCGAGTTTGCCTTGAAGGAAGCTGTCACCAGGATCTCCGTCACATTCTACGCTTGATGCCCCTGCCAGACTGCAAGTCAGAGGAAACCATCCAGTTGACCTGGGTGCTGCGATGTTCGTATGGCTTACTTGGCCCCTGGAATCCAGTCCCGGCCCCTGGAATCCAAGTTATGGCTCCATGTCCCCCGTGAAGGCTCAGAAAAAGGAAAACCGATCTTGGCATGTGGCAGTAAGGGGCTCCCACAGTGGTCTGCCGCAAGCGTTCGGCTTCCCAAGCTGAACAGGGTGCCCTACAAAAGCCACAAGCCATCCGGTGAGGCGGGGCCCAAGTTCTCCTTCGGCCTCGCGCTTGGCGAGCGCCAAGATGGGTTAAGGGTCACAAGGGTCCGAAGGCTGCCTTTGGGTGCCTTGTTGGTTGGTTGCTTTTGAAAGGGAAACACAAAGGAACCCAACCCATTTTTTTGGGCCAGCCACCCAGAAACGGGTTTGCTCCTCAATGGATAGATTCGGCGATGAATTTCACCTGAGTGCTTGGTGGACATGAATCCCCACAAACAACTGTCAGCCACGGAAGGGTCCCCTCATCCCCTTGTAAAGCAGATCCTCTTGGCCCCATTCGCATTACGGTGCTAGCGGGCACCGTGACCCGACCATACGAATTAATCTCTCCCCCCTATTAATAAATACGGCCCCCCCCTATTATAAATAAATCCTCCCAAATAATCCCTCCCAAATATATATATATATATATATATATAATTTGTGCTTTTGGGGTTGGGCTTTTTTGCTTTTCCAACAATGTGAGGGTTCACATAGGATTTGGAGGAAATGGATTGAATTGTAAGGTCCGCGAGTAAGCGGTTTAATAAGGACATTTTATGTACAATTATGTTTGTTTTTCAGTTTACTGGTTGTTTGCTTGCAGCCAGGCAGGTTAGCCAGCATGTACGGGGGAGAGACAGTCGCAGCTTAAAAGTGGGGCTGGAAGCTTGTTAAAAGTGCCCCCTAATAAGGGTTCCAAGACTTGAGGCACCCAACGTGCCCTTTTTTTAGGTACGAGAACAAAACGCTCGAATTACCGATTTCTGCTCGACCCCCAAAAAAACGCTCGCCCCCCAAAAAACGCTCGACCACATCCCCTTCTTCCATCCAGGGGAAGGCGGGATTGTTACGCTTAAAAAAAAAAAGCACTCGTTTGCGGATATTTGCGCTCGTTTTGCGGATATTTGCGCTCGTTTTGCACTTTGATTTCTGCTCGCTCCTTTTGAATATTCAGCGACCGGTCATCTTGGAGGACCGACCAGCCCGGTTTTGGGAAAAACGCTCGAAGCAGGAAAAAGTGTACGGTTACCATATTTTGGTGACGACCCCTGATTTTGCAATATGTTTGGGCTAAGGGCAGAAATTTATGTAACGAAGGGTGCTCCAGGAATTGGTTTAGTATTGGCGCAATTAAAAATCAATTGTGCGGAGTGGAAATCTGGTCCCGGGCCCCGGATTTCCATTTTTTATTAGTTGGGGTCCTTCATTAATAGGGGGAAGAGATTACTGAATAGTTGGAGAGTCTACCTTTGATTTTAGGGATCACCACCCAAGGTTTGGGGGCATGTGATTTTATGTCCGCACCTGTTTGTCTTCTTTAGTTAGCCAGCTTCATTCTGTAGACACTTTTTTGGGGGGGAGGGGGTGCCACATAGTTTGTAACAACGGGTTCCTGGACTGTAGACTTTTTTGGAAAGACAACTTTAGGTACAACCAAGAAGTTTAGATTACCCCAGTAATAGATCCCGGCTTGATAAATGTTGCCGGAATCATACGGTGGCGTTGCCCCTCAAAGGCGAGCTTCAGATCTGGTGCCGGTTATGACATTTCTCAGCTTCACATTACATGTCCACAAGCGACCCTTCCCCTCCAGCATTGGGAGTGTTGTTTCACCCCGCCCAGTTCATGTGTATATAAGAAATCGGGTCCCGATTTCTTCACATTTGTTTTTTTACCCAGAGGCTCCCAATTGATGCAGGGCCTTCAAACAACCTGGTTTGAGACCCCCAAACTCCGGAAGAAGGTGTCGAATGGAGGGGTCGGGTCTTCCGTTGCAAGGTCCAGGAGCCTCTGGGTACTACAATTTCCTTCTTTGACCCGCTGAACTCGGTGGCTCCCAGCCATCCGGTTCCTTAGCCTTTTAGACTTTTAGTGTTTAGTGGTAGTTTCCATTTAACCCACTAAAAGTTAGTCGCTTTTAGCGGGGGATCTGAGACCCCACCCCCTCAAAAATGGA